CAACGTTTCCTTTTGTGTGTTACAAACTTCGTAGCAAACTTAGTATTCCCTCTTCAGGTTATGAGAAATTAAATATAGGTGTTAAACTTTGATAAAGAATATACAACAATACGCCTAAATATAGGCAAAGTAAATTCTATTGCAATTTTACATAATATCAATTAAATGCTGCCTACATTTAAATTGTAAATTAAAAAAAGTTTAAGTTATGTTTATTTTTAAGTTATGTATTTCATAGAATTATCACTGCATGGTAAATATAAATGCAGAGTGAAATTTTTAATTTTTGTTACTTTCACGAAAAAATAGAGACACTTAAGCGAGAAGTTTTGTTCAAATTGACAATAAAAAGTTTTTATCGATAATTTCAATATTATATATACTTAAGTTTATAGTGAAAAAACATGTATGACAGTATATCCAAAAATATACAAATCAAAAAATGTGGGTTTTTCAAGCTTGTATGGTTTTTATTTCCATATATTTCTCAGAAATAAATGATATTATTGATTGCTATTTGTTTTTTTTTTTCAGTTTAGAATTTTTAAAATAAAAGGCGCAGTTTCCGAAGAAAAATCACAGCTATAAAAGTATTAATTATATTAATATTAAATATGTAATAACTCCATCTGTAATATATATTTACATTAATATCCAAATAGCAGCTCTGATCTAATAAATATTAACTTGTACTTCCTCAAACCAAAGTTTTTATTGTTAAAAAAAATGGTTTCGCATATCTTCGTTCATCACTAATATTAAAGCTCAAAGAAACCAAGAAAACTTTGCTAAAATATTCAGCCTTACTTCATCTCCTTTGCATTAGTATAAAGTATATACTAGTATTCTCAATTTTCGTCTTACTTTATGCATTTCTACATTTGTAAATACTTTACTCACAGCTTATTGAAGAACAGAGCCAAAAGGTACTACCACCAAAGCTAACCAACTTATTTAAGAATTTCTTAGTCTTGTTTTGGTTTTCAAACCGCTTTGACTTTAATCATTCTAGTATGCCAAAAGCAAGTCTTCATTACTCATATCTACCAATTAGTCTAATTTAATTTTGTTTTTTTTTGTTTTTTTCTGGATTATGACCTACTTAAAACTCCTACTTGTCTGGAAGGTAATGTTCATAACTTTATTATTTATGCTCATATTTTCATATTTTCGCTTTTTCACAATCATTTCTTTTCATTTTCGTATATGTAAGTAAAAAAAATCATCCGAGTATTTCATTGACATCTGCGTTCACTCTGCGCACATTTGCATTAAATCAATTAGAGGTAGAATATAAAGCATAAAGCTTAAGAATATATATATATTTGTAATCCCGCAAAGTATCTAAGCAGACTAAAAGCAAAGAAAAGACGTTCTTTTTTATTTTATTTCAATAGAAAAAAGATTTTCCTATATTCCAAGTAATGGCAGTGGCAACATTAATTAATAAGCTTTGTCACTTCAAACTGTCATTGTCATGTCACAAGCTTGAAAGTCATGAACAGCTATGCTTAGCATCACTCAGAGTATCACATGGAAACTAGATATACGTGTATGCACATATTTTTTATAGCAAAATTTTTTTATTTTTTTTTTCGTTTAATAAACAGTTTTAAAATAGTGAATATTTGAATGGAAATAAAATGCTAACTACGTGCAATTTTTTTTATTTTTATTGTTTTGTCTTATTTCTATAGATTTCAAAAGAGTCCAACTCGTTATTTTTTAACTTAAGCTCTCTCATTTTGTTTCACTAGAATATCTAAAACAAAGCTCTTTAATTAATTTCAAACTAATTTAAGTTCTCAGTTAACTCTATGCATTCTTTTTACAGATAAAGATATTTTCACTGTCGAAAAAGTTTTTCTGCGCAAAATTTCCAAAAACGCAAAAAATTGTATTCCAAGAATTCAACGTGAACACCATCCAGTTGTTGTATTGATTTTATAAGAAGTCTGTTGTAAAGGCGTGAAAAAGGGGTTGAAACTAGGTAAAAGGTGTACCAGCAGGATGTTTTAGAAGTCCTGGTAAGGCAATTAATCAATACTCTCTTCGATGGAGAGCAATGGATTTTTCAGCAAGATTTTGCTCCAGCACACAAGTCAAAAAACACCCAGCCGTGGCTTAAAAGCAATATTCCTATCTTCATAGCTGCGAAAGATCGGCCGTCTGGAAATTTAGATTTAACTCCATTTAATTATAGTTTGTAGTCAAAGTTGGAGAACACGGCCAGTCCAATATCGTACACAAATAAATTTGGAGGGTCTCAAAACCTCGTTAGTTCGAGCAGCATCCTTATTACCAATAGAAACCACAGTATTAAATAAAATTAATTCTATTCAAAATTTTATTATGGTTTGATTTTTCTAACGGCGTGAACTTGTAACCAAACTTATGGCATGACTAAGTACTTGATCAACTTTATATCGTGTGTAAGTTAAGTTCATTTTAGGTTATTAAATTTATTGTAATTTATACTATTTAAATTATGTTGTGTTATGTTATGTTAGGTTTCGTCATGTTAATTTATGTTACGTTAAGTTATATTTTATTATGTTAAGGCATAGTTTTTATCTTATTTTACATAAGTGAAAAAATTAAATACTAATCTGAATAGTTGGATATATTTATGTTTTTACAAAAATATTTTGCCCTGAATTTTAAATTTGTTAACTTTTATATGGAAATATTGTTTATAATTGGTAATTTTTTCATTATTTACAAAATATATCTAGCTTCTTGTATTAAACTAATTATAATATAATAGTATTATACAAAAAAGTTAATTAAAAGCCACATATAATATATGCTTATTCAAAAAAGAACAAATTCTTGGGGTTCAATACCATTAAACTCAAAATAGTAAATCATTTCACATCACATAATTACTACATTCATTTTACGACTGCCTGTAACTGTCATATAGCACATTCATTATTTTACTTTCGTTAATACATTTATCTGTTTATCTGCCTGCTGGGCAGGTAACATCTTGATTTGCTTAATTAAAAATATTTCAACTCCTTTTAAAACTCATTTCCTCATTATCTGTGTTTGATCCCCTTTCAAGTTACTTCTATTCCCTTCCTTAAGGCACATTTTCACACATTTTTTCCGGCACTTAACTGAATTGGAGACACGTAAATTGGTTTCGGCTGCAAGTGCGTACCTTCTTAACACTGACTTCCTTTTAACTTATTTCTTTGTGTGATATTTCTCCTGTTTTCTCTTCATTATAGCATGCACTCGAGTGATTTATCACACATTTGGTTTTTGTTTAGATAATGATGTTGAAGTCGATATAACAAGATGATGTACATATACATATATAAATTTGTATATAATATCACATGAAAGCATACAGTTTAAATACTTTTAATTGGTGTCAGTGAGTGAAGAACTCATTGTTTATAATTCTAAATGTGTTAAACGACATTTAAAATTTTTATTAATGTTTAAACATTATCTGTTTTATGCCGGGAAACCGTAAACGATAATTATTATATACTTATTCCATAGCGCTTGCGCAAATGGGACTCATTATGAACAAATTATGACACGAATGCCTAAAGTGATGAAAGCTAAAGGCTGGACCAAATGTTCCTGGAATATTAAGACATTCGTGTAAATTATACAGACTTTATGCTTGATAGAAAGTATTTTTCGAATCTATGGTTTGCACATTGCTTTCCAAGTTTGAAAATCTCAAATTATTTCTGAAAATTTGGTACATTTTAAATTAATTTTTAGCGCAAGAACAGCGTCTAACTGTCTGTCTATACGCCAACTCTGCCCTCAGTTTTTAAGATATTGATCTGAAATGTTGCACATGTATTTTTCTTCTCAAAAAGCTGCTCGCATGTTGCAATAACCGATATCGGATCACTATAACATTTATGTGCCATACAAAGTGATATATCAAAATCGAGTTCTCATATGGAAAACTTTTCTATTTGACAACATATCTTTACGAAATTTTACAAAAATTATTTGCTACAAAGCTACAATTTCTGAACAAATTTCTCAGATCAAACCACGATAGCATATAGCAATGATACAAACTGCTGGATCAAAATTAAGTCCTTGTATAGAAAACTTTATTTGAAAAGATATCAAAACACAGATAAACAACTTTTTTTACACTTTTTGCTATAAAAAATGCAGTTTTTATTTTATTAATTAAAAAAATTGTCTGAGAAAACATTATTAGGCATGTGAAAATTTAGTATTTTATTCTTTGGAAAACACAAAAATTTATAGCAGAATTTTTCGAAAATTTTTTTAACAACAAATGAATAATCTAAACTCTAAATTCTACTAAATATAAATTTTTAATTCAGCCACAGACCGTATTATGCCAAACGACTTCCATTCCTACCTGCGATTTTTTTTCTTTGCTGCCACTTAAACTATGGCACTGGCAGTACCGTTAAAAATTTAGTGTGTAAACTGCAATTTAGCCCTAAAGTATGCCACACGCTCTGTTTTGTCGTTTTTGCACTGCAAATAACACTGGTTTTAGCAGACTTTCAGGCGCGTACAGCGAACAAACAGTCCACTTTTAACCCCATATATTTGTACAAACTAACGCAACGGTTAAAGCAGGCAGCATGTGTGCGATTACTTTTGTTGCCCAACACAACACTTTTGCTGGCACTTATCCCTGCCCAACAACTGCACACATGCATACACCTATGTGAATGTGTGAGTGTGTTTATATGAGCATGTGAAATTCACAAAGGAGCACAGCGCTTAGGCGTCAGTCGCGGCTGTCTGCTAATGCTTTGCTGGGTGCTTGTGCCTAAAATCACTGCAGTGTGAAAACAAACACACACTCGCACACACACCAAGTGAAAGGCGCGCTTTCATCCACAACATCAAACTCAAAACAAATAATTGGCAGGCCATTCCGACTCGCAGAGGGCGCCAAAACAAGAAACCAACACGGCTGCGTACTTTTTTGTAAACGTATTTGCACTAGTTGTTGTTGTTGTACTCACCTTCTGCTTCCACAAATTGCAACTCCACGCCGTTGCTTTGGAGCGTAAGTAGAGTAGTTTTTTGTTGCAGTGACGCTGTGTTGCTGTTGTTATGCTTTCTATGCGCGCCACTTTTTTCAGCTACATTTCGCAGGCCTTTTGCACTTTTTACATACAAGCACGCACACTAAAACACGTGAAAACTTGCAACTTTTAACTACCGGCAACAGCTGCCGCCGTCGCTGCTGCTGCTGTTTCAGCGTCAACGATTTCAACTTTGCGCTTTTAATGCCGCGCTAAAGAAACGCTATTTCATTTTTTGCTATTGTTGTTATTTTTGTTGTTGTTTGCCACAACGTCTGCCACACTGGCTGCCACTCCTGAGCACCGCAGCACACACTTTTGCTAATTAAATTGGCACAACAACACACTGGCCGAGCCTGTGGTGGTGTCGGTGATGGAGTTTAACGCACCGTACACACACACACTGAGTCAAGCACGCATATATTTGTATGTATGTGAGTGCAAACTGGTATGAATGCGCATATATGGAGTGGCTTACTTCCGTTCAGACCGGCGTCGGCAACTCAATTGTTGTTGTTGATGTTTTTCTTATAATTGTTGTTGTTGCTGACTTAATGTTTACTATATTAATGTTTTTATTGTTGTTTTTTGTTATTATTGTTTTTATTATTATTGTTGATTTTGTTATTATTGTTGTTGTTGTTTTTGTTGACTTAATCACTTAAACACTCGTAAATATTTCACTAGAAATTGACAATTTGTTTTTATTTAATGGGTTCTCGCACCCACACAACCATTGGCACGCGCACACTATCTTTAATTACATACATATAACTGTATTTACATACATATATGCCAGTTTTAATCTTTTTAAGCCGATTTGTGCGCACTCAATATAAGTGAAACATTTTCTGCTTTGCTAATTATTATTGACTCCTCTTTTACTACACGTTTTATTTTTCACTTTTCTTCTTCTTCATTGCCAAAATATTCGCTTGGTATTCGTAGCCCAAACTACAAGCTTTTAACACGCCAAGTGCCTTTTGTTTTTCACTGCCTTTATCTGACACGCTTTTTGTTTGCTTTCGCATTTGCACGTTCACACCCTTGGCAAAATCTCAAATAATTTGTTGTTATTGATTGTGTGGACTAATGCCGACGCTATACTCACACCCACACAAAAACACCAGTACAGGCCAGCAGCCTTAAACTTTTGATTGTATTTAACCGCTTTACAGCTGGTCGCCTTGAGCCAACAACGGAAGGATGGAGAAAAGATTCAAAAGTGCGCACACCAAATTCCCAACTCGACAATTTCAAACAACACAAGGATATGTCAGCAATTTGCACTCTTTTGCTACACCTTCTTGTTTAATTTTTATATCATTGTATATATATATATATTGTAATTTGTCAACGACAGCTGCACGCACTCTTATTTACTTCGCCTACATTTTACTTGCACAAATTGCTTTTAAATTAATACAATTTATTGACTTTAAATAAATTTCCCTTGCTTTCGGGCGCAACGCACAGCATCGCGACGTTGTTGCTCGCCGATATAACATCGCGTACTAGCGCGGACTGTAGTATTTTGCAAGCGCAACGACCGTCTCAATATTTCGCTACCGTTTTACTGCTGTTGCAACTGCTTGGCTTTGCCACTGTTCACTGTTTACTGTTGCTGTTGTGTCGCTGCCTGTTTGCTTTGCATTGCTCTTCCGAGTTTTGCTTACGAACACTCAGCCAGCGCCTTTAGAACTGACCTGTCACTAGCGTTTGCTGTATTTTGGTCCAAACATTTCGCCCTTAGCGCCGTGTTGCACCTCATCCAGTCGTGCAGTGTCTTCTTGACTTCGTGCGGTTCGTGTGTTATAAATAACATGTGACAATATACTTAGCATAACTTTCGGGTATTCTCTAGTTAACAGGTGTGATATGTTAGGTTTAACTTAGCTCAGTTGATGAATGAAATATGTGGGCTTGTTTGCGCAGATGCGCTCTCTTTGTTATGCTTGCTTTGCTCTCCAAATTTTGAGGGAATTTTTTCTCCGTATGTAACACAAGCATGCTACTATTATATAGGTCTAAACATATCCCAACTGTCAGCTGTTCGTAGGATATTTGGCTCAAATTAACAATTATTTTATATTTTTTGTCGAAATTTTTTCGAAATTTCTCTTCAAAGTACTCGTATATAAGAAGAGACAGTCACTGAAGGGATATTACAAAAATAATATCTATAACGGGATATTTATACAATTTCCCAGTAAGCTTAACACATTTCAAATGCCTTAGCTTATAGTTTGGCTACGGACGGAAAAGTAAACATTGTTAATGTAAGAATTAAAAAGGACTATTTTGTGAAAACTTTTCCTAAGCAGTTAAAGCAAAATGCAGCGGATTTATTTTCAGTCAAAGAAGGCAGGATTTTAAGTAAATACTTATCGATATTTTATGCTAAGGTACGAATATCCTCGAATATGGAAATTTCTTATATAAAGCAAAAGACTGGTTGCCTTTTTTTCCAAAATTGTAAATAGTTAAATCACTTTTTATAGTTAATTTTGGAGTGAAAAACAAATATCGGACTTAAAAACCATATTTTGGAGTTATTCCTGTGAAGATTATTCACGATGGCGAGCCGGAAAGACATAGAAAATAGTACGAAATTTTGTCTTCTTAATTATTTTATTTTGAAATAAGATTTTAATAAAAACTAAACAGTTTTTATTATTTTTCAAATTATAAGATGTTTAATTAACTTGAAATATCAATTCGTCTTACTCAAAGTTTTATTGGATTTCAAGCTTTTCAATTTCGTTTGAGGAAATAATATTTAGCATTTTTGCGCTCACAATAAGCCACAATGGTGGATGCTATTTTTAGTACTTTCACTCAGCTGCTGATTAAAAGCTTTTATCTCCTCTATGCAATATTTTATAGTAGAAAAATCCCAACCAAAAGAACACTAGCAAGACATCGCTACAAGCACCTCATAAGGAATTGCTAGAATGAGTAAAAGGTGTGGAACTTTTTAACTTCAAGTAGTTAATATTACAAATGAATATTTCAGAAAATAAGTTCCAGTTTATATAAACATTACAAAATAGCCACTCAGGTATTTTATTATTCGGCATAGGTCTAAATGTCCGAATTAGTGTTCTTCTTTTATAAGTATTGTTTTAAGAGATTTACTCTAAATTTGCTTTTAAAATTAGTAAATATATACCAACTGACCACATTTGACCCGGAGTGACAAAAACAACAAAATTTAACACAAACTTTCACCATCACCTTTGAAATAGGCTCTTGAGACAATACAAGTAAACCCAAACTTAATCCAGTTTTACCTACACTTGTCATAAATCCACGACTCACTCCAACCACTAATGATGCGGTTGGTGAATCTTCAATTTATTTAACATATTTCAACAAAAATCATATTTATTATCAGTTAAGCGGGTCATCCTATGTATTTAAGGAATTTTTTAGAATTTTTTTCCTACGACCAGTAAATAGATAAAGCTTTATGTTTATTATCATTTATTAACATATATTTCGACAGTACCTAATAAATATATATAAATATAAATTGCAAGTTAAAAATATTGTGTAGAACCTGAGTTACAGGGTTCTGAACACCTCTGCCAATAGGCTCGCACTTCCTCCCCTATGACGTCTATTTGGTTTATCTAATCTGAAAAAAAAATTAGCGGTGTTTTACTCTGTAAGTCAAAATACACTGAATGGATTATTATGTAATGGATACACCCAAAATTAGATTTTTGGTAGACATTTGAAAAAAGTTAAGTCCTCACTTTTTTGCTAAGGAACCAGTGTACCAAGTTTTATTGCGATATCTAAGTTTTTACTCAAGTTACAGCTTGCGCAGACAGACAGACATAAGGACGAGTGGACGGACAGACAGTCACTCGGAATTTAACTCGTCTTATCATCCTGATCATTTATATATACATATAACACTATTACTATTTCCATTAGTTTTAGGTGATACAAACAACCGTTAGATGAACAAAAATATTATACTCTGTAGCAACATGTTGCAAGAGTATAAAAATAATTCAATTTCAAAAGCGTAACACGCATACAACAATATATGCACCGTTATAAATATATTCATATATTTTGATGTTTAAAAAGTTTCAACAGCCTAATAATTATCATGTATCCCACAGACATACATACAGGCGAATGCAAATACCAAGCCTGGAGTAAGACAGCAGTTCGCATGCCACCAATTTTATATATATATATATATAAATGTCGTATATACTTGTGCTTACGAGGCATGCATGTCCTTATCAGTTTTCCCGCTGTCAACAAACTTTGTGCTGCTCGGCGCACACACTGACGTAAATCATTGAACTTTTCTGCGCCAGCAAAATTTTCAACACCTTCCGCTTCGTCGCTAACCAAGAAGAGATTTCGTAACTGTCTGTCGCTGACTAACTCTAGGCACGCGCCGCTTCAGCTATCACAGACATAGCTAAAGATACAGCAGATATTTGTATATATGGCTATATATGCGTGTGTGTATGTGTGTCGTGTTGCTGTTGACATTACGATTGCAGTATTTGTTGTTACAACTGTTTTTGCAACGCCTACATTTGACGTATTATGTCGCCATATTGCCTTGACGCATGCAGCGACTTTGGATGCTATACAAACGTGCGTTCACACAAACATATATACATACGCATATCGGTACGGAAATAAACTCTACGCACATCTACATTCATATCTTATGAGCTGGTGTCAGCAACAGTTTCCAGTCACCGGTCTCCACCGCATACACACACATACAAACAGAACAAAATATATATATATATATATACGTACTAAAGTAAATATGTATTCAAGCGCAGCCTTTGATGAGTGATTACATTTCGCAGCGAACTCCAGGCAGCACCATCCACCTCTCCTTCCCTCTCCTGTCCTTGTAGCGCACCAGCGTATGAATATGAAAATTATTTGAGAGCCCCAGTGCCTGACAACTGCTTTGCTTGCACTTCAATCACACTTCAAGGCTAAAGCTTTCACTTCGCTTGCCTCACGTGCTCTCTTCGTTGCGCCACGCAGCACCTCATTGCTACAAATTTTTTAGTTACATTTGCATTTTGAAACTGTGTGGCGGAAATATAGCCGATATTGTTGAACCCCTTTCGCAATGACTTCTTGCACAAGTCATTTACGCTTTACTTTTGTTGCGCTGAGTGTTCGATATGAGCAGTTGATTGCGCCATTGCCATGTTGTAACGTTTGCAAAGTGCTCAAAGCGGAGAGATTCCTCTGCAAGATATCTAAAATTAATGATTGCGTTTAATGTATGAGAAGCTGGTGCAATGTGGCCAAGTTGTAACAAAACCTTTAACTAAGTAAAAATTTGAGAATTACATTTGGATATGGTAATCGTCAAATGGGGTGTAAAAATTTCGGAAATTTCTAAGGAGAACTCATAAGTCTCAAAATAAAAGCTTTCCCTTTTCATAAACAAGACTTTAAAAGTGTAATTTTAGTCTTTAATGTATTGTTATTTAATTTCAAAAATAATATTGTATTTTAAATTATTATCGTACTTTCACTTATATATTATCATTGATATAAAATTTGAAAGGAATTTGTAAACCACTTTCTTAAAAACAGTAAAGTGACAAATGATTGAAAGCAATAAAAAAATAAAGCCATACGGTCAAAAGTATGACATTTTTTATATAATTGCACGGTTGCTTCAGTTTTTCCTTTACAAACAATTCACTGCAGCAACAACTCCTCATTATTTTTTAATGATTAAATAAATTCACGATTTATACTTATAAATATTTTCCATAAAATCTAGATGACACATAGAGTCGCTACATACAATTATAACCACATTTATTTATCGCTAGAAATTAAATTTTACTCCATGAATGACCTTATTTTGCGCTTCTGCTTCGACTTCCCGTCTCTTGGACTTCCTGGAGGAGTTGGAGGTGGCAGTTGAACCTAACACCTAAAGCTTTTCGTTAAATAATTGAAGCCCTCTAGTAATGTAAGTTACATTCTAAAAATATTTATTTAAATTAGAATCAAAATTCGCACTTTTAAACTTACCGTTGACTAACAACTTATTTAACTTTGCATTCCCAAAAGAAAACCTACACCAACAACTTTTCAAACATGTCACAAAATACAACATTTTGAAAGCAATTATGAGTTTTGAGACTTTCGCATATACATATCTCTTGCAAAAAAAGCTTTTAATTAAGCACAAGATCTTCACAATTCGAGTGCGAAAATTAAAAGGCTCTTCATCAAAACCTCGATTGAGAAAAAACGTTACACCAAACTTTGCTGCTTAAGTGTTGTTGCTGTAATTTAGAAAACTTAATAACTTCAATTTGAACTGCACTTCCATGTAAGCCAATTTCACTTGGCAACTTTATGCCGCAACTCGTACTCAAACTCATACAGAAACTGCCACTCACACATACAACTCACGCACACTCATACAATGCAAGTAAGTTGAGCATCGTTCAAAATAGTTCAAACAAACACGAACACATGAGTATGTACATACTATTGAACAGGAAACTATCGATTTCAGCAAACTTATTCCAATACTTGCTTCACAACAACAACAATAACAAAATGCTTTGACCAATCGATTCTACACAGTTTGCGAGCTCCTCAAAAGTATTTGCGTATAATAAAAACTTCAAAAATGAAAATAAATTTCATTCGGGGCATTCACCCACGCAGCTGGCCTTAATCTTAAACTTGAAGGAATAAATAATAGTAGGCGGCAATTTAAGAGTAACATCAATATTTGGAGAATTGACAGTAATT